AATTTTTATTAATATGGAGAAGATGGATTGTTTATATTTAAAAGAAGCATAGAGTGGTGGAATATAATTTAGGTTTTTAGTAAATTTGTTCTTTTATATTTTACCTACTCATGTAGAATAATATACTTTGTGGAGTTAGAGATATTAATATTTGTTTACTTATATTTGAATATTATCCTGGGATTAGGTTTGGGAAGTCTGGGGGGGTGGGGGGTGGGTTTTCATACAGTATTGTGTAATATTTGTGATGTTTTTTTTCTATGATGAAAATAATAAAAATTTTATATTGAAAAAAAAAGATTTTAGGAATTATACATCACTTCATTAGATGCACTGAGAAAAAATATATGCCTCCATGAAGGAAGAGAGGACACAGAAGAATGAAAGGTCAGAGAGAAATGAAATATAGTATGTGAAGATAATTATAATTATCTATACATAGTGGCCATTGTAAAGGTATACGGGGAAAACCTTGGGAGAGAGGCAAAGAAATGCTGCCTCAGATAAGAGAGAGCATGGCCTGCAGCTGGAAGTGGCTAAGGCAACAGGGGATCTTCTCTAGTTTCTTCAGCTAGGTGGAAGAACTGTATTTTCAGACTTACAAGACTGTTAATGTAGCAATGAAGGAGAATATTTGTAGCTCAGGGTTGAAATGAGGGGTCCTCTCTGAGCTTGCTTGTTTCTTTTCTTGCAGACTTTTCATTACTCTAACTAGGTAACTGATGTTACCTAATTAGGGTAATGAAACATCTACAAGAAAACAAGCAAGCTCAGAGAGCAACAAAGAGCCTCACTGTTAATGTAGGTTTACAATAAAATAGAATTAGCTTATCTGGATGTATTTCTTGTCTGGCCTACCTGGTATGGCTGAGAGCCATTCACAAAACAAGAACTGGGTATGACAGACATAGATATCTTACATTGGGTAATACCATACTTCAGGAATTTAAGATCTAGCCATCAGAAACTCAAGTTGGTATAATAGTTGCTGACTTCCTTCAGGCAAAAATTCCAGCTAAGCTTAAAGATTTGAACAGAAAGAATCAATAAAGGATTTTCACAAGTCTTAAACAACTTTAATATATTTTGAAGAGAAACACGTAAGTTTGAGTTTGGATAACTTTCACTAAAGTTGATGGTGATACATAGTACACCCACCATGAAAAGAAAGAACTGTCCTAAGTGATGAAAGTATAAACAGACAGAATGTCTAAGGATATTAACAGATTAAACGTTCAAGAGCCAAATAGGTTATGCAGACCTAGTTCTCTAAATATGAAAATATACTTGCAGAAATTACTGAGAAAAATATATTCTGAAGTTCGTATGTAATAAATTTACAACTAGAAATACTAACACATTCCAGAAAAGCAATTTGCTTATTACTATTCTGAAGTTCTCTAGGTCAGAGTTCCCCAACTTTTCTGTCTTCGTGGACTGGCGAAGGAAGGAGAGGAGATGGTTCTGCGTGAGCAGCCGGTAAGCGCAAGCCCACCACTCACACAAATGGAGTGTGCATGCATGCGCTCACCCGCTACTTGTGCAAGTGGGGATGCATGTGTGCACAATAGAGTGTGCATGCATGCACTCACACATCATTTCTGCATCCTGTTGCAAACACCTAACAGCCCACTAGTGGACCACAGCCCAGAAGTTGGGGGCCCCTGCTCTAGGTAACTCTATACTTTTCTTCCAAAGTTGACAAATCCTAAGCACTACATTTGTAATAAATACTGTAAGTATTTAAGATAACTAATAATTTAGAACAAAGCAGCTATTAATCAGAAATTCTCTTCATTTACTATTAATTAATGGCATCTCAAAACTATTATCTTTTCTTTAGAGGCTTTAACACTGCCACCTGTTTAAGCCCTTTTGACAATTTTGAAAGGAAGAGAGAACATAATAGAAGTCAGGGTGGATTAAATTAAATGCTTACTTAATCTAGCATTTTCCCCACACAACCAATACAGATGTCTGAAGGAAGTCTATAAATAAGAACATCATAATGACAGCACCTTTCTGCTGGCAAATGAAATAAGAGGCATAGTAGATTGCTTATGATACTGAAAGAACTTTCAGATGCAGACAGCAAAACATGGGATAACTGCTACTCCAGCCCTAATTAGAAGTAATATTTAGGATCATGACTTAGTCAATAATTTATCTAATATTCTAAACAGTCTATCATTACATTCATAGCAATCATTTTATCAGTTTAAGTACACACTGTAAGGTACTAGTTTCTTTTACCTGTTCTGAGCTATACATCATCTTATGCATTTTTCTATTGCTTGCTTTAGTATTGCTTTCTCCCAACTAAAAAAAAAACAAACTTCTCAAATGACTTCAAGTCTCTTTATTATTCTGATTGCCCTTTCTTGCACTATTCCTGCTCTACAGTATTTTCTTAGCCTCAGAATTGTACATGACATTTCAAGTAATAGTTATACCACAGATTTTTTTTAAAGCATTATAGTGTTAGTATTTTATTTTTGGCTACCTTCTTAATGATGTCTGTAACCAATATATATTTTCCACAGTACAATAACTTCATTTCACATTAACCTCTCTTCCAGCCAGTTGGAACACTCTCTCTCTCTCTCTCTCTCTCTCTCTCTCTCTCTCTCTCTCTCTCACGCACACACACACACACACGCACACACACACGCACACACACTGTATATTTATAAAAATGGCAGACCAAATTATTACTTTATTGTTCCTGCTTCCTCCTACTCCATGTTGGGAGAGTCCTGCTTCCTCCTACTCCATGTTGGGAAACCTAATTCCATTCTTGTTATATGACAAGTTCAGAAGCAGGCATCCTATTTTATTCAAACCTGCAAGTTGGTACAGATGCATATATGTACTTATTTCATAATATCTGTATACCACCTTAGTAATAGCTGGCGCATCAATCATGTCCTGACTGCCTACTTGATCCATCTTACATATATGGCCTGGAAACCATATGACTGTAACTTCTGGTTCTACCTTAGACATGAAAGCCACTTGGATGACTATGGGCCACTCTCAGCCCAGGTTACCTCAAGATTATTATTGGGAGAAAACTGGAGGAAGGAGTATTGTATGTTTGCTACCTTGAGTTACTATAAAGAAACAAAGGCGGGATTTTAAAAAATGAATATATAAAATGTGATAATCCTCCAGTTGACCTTACAAAGTGATTATTACCTTGATGTAATCTTTTTACCCTCCCCTGTCAATTCAGCTGCCTTTGCTTTTTAAGCAATTCAATACTTGCAGGCACGTTTGGCCACCTCCCCAAGTAATTCGTAAGCCGTTTAAAAAGTACCAGTCACCAACTCACTGTTTCTTTCTAGATCACTGACTTTTCCTAGACCAGGGGTAGGCAACCTTGGCTCTTTTATGACTCGTGGACTTCAACTCCCAGAATTCCTGAGCCAGCTGTGCTGGCTCAGGAATTCTGGGAGTTGAAGTCCACGAGTCATAAAAGAGCCAAGGTTGCCTACCCCTGTCCTAGACAGATGGGAGGCAGACGACCTTACAAGCGAGGGCCGGAACCTGACAACAGAGGGCAGCACCCTTCTGGCAGATGCAAACCACTGGAGCTTGTAGCATCGGAGGCTACACCCCTCCGCGCACCTGCCACCCTTCCTCTGTTAAACCCCTTTGAGGGGGGGGGACATAGCTAATACAGCCAGGCAGTAGCCGCCTGCTCAGAGAAAGGCAGGGAACAAATGGGGCTTCCTTGGGAGGCCAACGATCAAGCCCGGCGAGATTCCTGTATCCCGGCTAAAGGATGGAAGAAAGCGGGGCGGGACAGGGCGCCGCCCCCCCTGTCGAAGGTAGACTTTGCAAGTATGTCAGCCAGCCCTGAACCAACCGCTCGACCGCCGCCGCCCCCCCCCCACTCCGGCGCAACTCGGCGTGCTACAAGCGGCTGCTCCGCCGAGACCCGGCGTCTCTCTCCCTCCCTCCCTCCTTACCTTGAAAGGGTTGTTAAGGTCTGGGTCCGCGAAAGGGTTGCTGTCGAAATCCGACATAGCGACGGTCAGGCAGGCGCTGCGATGAGCGAATGGCGACCGCCAGCGACTTTAGTCGAGCGCCCCAAAGGCAGCCCCGTCCCTGCCGATGCCAGCCGAGGTAGATCCGGCACGAATCCCCACCCCCCCGAAATCCGGAGGAGCCCGATAGGTTAGCCAGGCCTCCAAGATGGCCGCCCAGGAAATGACGTAAGAGTAGGGACGCGAGGGGGCGGGAAGAAGAATAAAGCGGAGGGGAGATCGGTGAAGGGGTCGTGCTTCTCGTCTTTTTTTTCGGGGGGCGGGCGGGCTGGCGGCGTGTTTCGCATGAACCCCACTTCCCCCTTTCTGTCCCGCGTGTTTAACAAGTACCAGGCAGTTCTCTCTGGCTCTTCCCTACGCCCGCTTGCGGAATGCAGCAGCTTCAAGATCTCCTGCTTTTATTTATGACATTTTCCAGATTTTAGGACTTGGATCCCGATCTCTTTTTGATCACGTGTGTGAAACATTATTTTTAAAAGTTCACTTTTCTCGATGCCGTTTGTATAAAGGTTCTTGCGTTTGTTTAATCTAAAAGCCATACTTGGGGGGGGGAGGGGGAAGCGAAGATAGCTTTATTGCGGCTGTTTTCAAACTTGACAACTTTATGATGTGTGGACTTCAACTCCCAGAATTCTCTAGCCGGCAATTCTGGAAAAGAATTCCCAGATTGGAAAACGCTGCTTTATTGCCCGTGTCTGGCATTTGTCAATTGATACAAACTTTTAACTTAAATGAGTTGTGATTGGTTCTATTCCCTCCCCCCAAACCAACAAGAATCTGGCATTTGTTTTAAGCCTATTGTTTACACAGTTTTTCACATTATATTTAAGACTTGTTTATAATCATTTTTATTAAAGAAATGTTTAATAAAGTAAAAAGATAAAATATAAAGATAATAAACAGAAATAATGAAAACAGAAATTAAAAAGAACAATTGTAAAGGATGGTTGTCTGATCCTGACAATGGTTTTAGATACATTTATATTTTGCCCTAAGTTTCCTTCTTTCCATAAGCTACTGTTTCTAATCTTCAAACCGTAATTCACAAATTCACTTTTCTCTTTTTTTCAGCAAAAAGTCCATAAGGGGTTTCCAGTCACTAATAAATGTAATTGAGCTTTCTATAATCAAATAAATTAATTTTGTCATCTCTGCTACTACTGTCATCTTCACCAACTATTCTTCCATTGTGGATATTTCAGTCTTTCCATTTTTGCACATATAAAAGGCTAACAGCAGTAATGCATATATAAAAGTAATATTCCATGGCTCTTTTCTAATTGACTATCCATTAATCTAGCAGGAAAAGTTCTGCTTTCAGTCAAATGTTGATCTTTAAAATTCTTTGTATCAATATACGTATTTGAACCCAGAAATTTCTAACTTCTTTAAACTCTAAACATGATAAAATTACCCTTCATGTTGTCCCCATTTCCAACAAAAATTTGTAGTACCTTATACATTCTAGACAATTTTAGGGTGATTACCTGTTTTTATGCATCCTAGACACATTAAGCTCTGATTTTAAAAACATATATTTTTGCTAGAACAAATAACTAGAGTTTTTTTTCTTAAAAAGCCATATGTAAGCTATTCACATTTTGTAATGTGGTCAATTCCCCATTTCTAGCCATTGTCATTTCCGCTTTCCTGATAAGATACTATTTTTAGACTTTGAGGCGTCTCAGATGATCAGATTGCTGTCTTTTGACTGAAGTCGTGATCTGAGATGTGAAGAATCTAAAGCAAGGCTGAGTATACTGTAGAAGGGAAAGAACCAGATTAATACCTTGAAAAATAATTGTGGACGTCAAAGGAATAGCTGGCCAAAAGTAACAGCCCAGTAGGCAATGATGGAACTGCCACTGACTGTGAGACTGTGAGAATGGAAGTGGCTGCAAAAACCTAGGCACAGATCTTTTCCAGTGGTGGTGAAATTTGGTGGCAGTGGATTGGTTATTTTTATTTTTTATATGGGCCATATAAGGCTGCTGGGTGGGCTGTATGTAATGCAGGCTGGTCTAAACAATAACTATTGTATTTGTTACTTGAGTTTTTGATGGGGGGAATGGGAATGCCAAAGCCATGTTTTAGTATTAATGCTGTGTTCCTAGATCTCTTATTATATGTTATTTAGTATTCTATATTTCATGGGACTGATAGATCTAGTCCTATCGCAACCTGTGTTCCATTTCCAGCTCTTTCACCTTCACTCCTTACTCTATAATTTCCAAATTCCTTTGCCTCCCTATGTCTGACATAATATTGGTTGACACTATGCAACTTTAACATAGTCCTTGATCTAGAAACTGTGTTTTAAAAATGCTTCCGTCTTCGCTTTCCTTCAAGCTTGCTGCCAGCTGCTATGAAAACAGAGGGAGGGAGCAATGGGTATTTGGGAGGGGAAGTGTGCAGGTGGTGTGAGACTGGAATTGGTGAGAAGCAGGGACTTTTTTTGTCATAGAACGCCCAGAACGGAGTTCTGGCACCTTTTTTGGATGGAACCTTGTAGGGTAGGCAAGGCGGGTTGTATGACGTGTGTGAGTTTCGGCACCTTTTTTTTTTTGTTACAAAAAAAGCACTGGTGAGAAGTGATGGGGAAGCTTAGACTCAGAGAGGTCAATTTGGGTTGTTAACATCTTCAAGGCCAACCGTCCTGGGAACAGCATGCATGAAGGCGGCACTGAGCATCTGGACCCGAGACATTCCCAAAACATCTTCCTGGCCAATGATTGGACTCTGATTGCTTGACTACTGGGGGGGGGGTGGCTCTGGGGTTATTTTCAATTTGTCTTTTCACGCACATTTGCTTCAGACCTTGCCTGACTTTTGCTGCAATCAGTTATTTCCTAGTAAAAGTACCTTTTCTCTAAATCTATGGACTCAAGGGATTTCTTTCGTAGGGATTGATCAGAGGCAGCCCTGACACTCTGTTTGATTCGATCACAAATAAACCCATTCTGAACTTTCCATTATTAGAAACTAAAACAAGTACTGTAGCTAATGGAACCATGCAACTGATGTATGTAATAGATATATATTGCATGAAAATACCACATTTATAATAGGGACTTGGAGAAAATAGCCAGAATTTAGTTTTTCTGTCTCAGCCTTCCTTGACCAAGATGTATAGCTCAATTCTGCAGTTGTAGTTCCAATAATCTGATGGGGTTAGCCTGTCCTACCTGCACTGACAAAGGAAACATGCTATGGACCCCATTGGTCAAGGAATTTTGGCTGGTGGAATCAAAGAGAAAAGCCTTTTCTGCCATGGCACCTGCCCTTTGGAACATCCTGCCCCCCCTTCCCCAAGGTAAGATCCGCACCTTCCTCTCTGGACTTTTGAAAGGGCTTGAAGACCTGGAAGTGCCAGCTGGCCTGGGGCTCTAATGGGGAAATGATATCTTGGAGGTGGTTAATCGATTAGTCAGACCCCACCTCCACCTCTCGTGCACTTTGCTCCCTTCCTTTCCATCTTGGTTAATTGAACTTTAACTGAAATTTAAATATATGCTTCTTACTTGTTTAGTGTTTTATATGGTATTTTAATTGCTTGAGTATAAGCCGTCTAGAGTCACCTCAGCAAGATGGGTGACATAGAAGTTTAATAATAAATAGAATAAATAAAAATTTCCAGACTCCTCATCACTTTTGCTGTTTTCTAAATACACATTTCTGTCTGGATCATTTTCATTTTCATTATTATTAAAACAATATTTTTCTCCTCAAAAAATATATTCTAAGTACCTCGACTAGCCCTGCTATGTGATGAGTTTTATATATAAGGGAACCAAAATAGTTCATTTTCAAAAGTAAGATAAATCCAGAATTCATTCATTTTGAAAAATAAAACTAAAATACCCTGAAAAGACAATGGTACAGTTTTCAATAAATTATATACCCAATCAAGAACATAAAAACTTATGCAATTTCTTCATACTAAATGAGAACATTGGTCCCTCATTGGTCCAAAATTATTGTGGTTAATTTAACCATGCTTATCCAAAGTTAAATTAACCATGTTTTATTTGATCCAATTTTCTGGATTTGCACAATAAGCTGAACTATACACTTTCACATTGGCTAGATATGCATGATACCTGACACTAAAATATACTTGGCTAGTTGGTTTGTGATTTTGTATCCTCTGTGAATATAGCAACTGGCTGGCAATGCTTGTCCTGACTTTGAGGCCTGACTTAACCTGAGATCAGTTTTTCACAATGTTTTCTAAATATCTTACACATTTTCCACCCAGATTGAACTCAAAACCATCAACAGCAAAACATGCAGCTGTATCGGCTCTATAAGCTAGTGGTACATTTCACTGAACTGAACCACAAATCTCATCATTCTCAGCAGTTGTCATTAAGTCAGCCAGAGGATTTTGCATTGGAGAGGCTGGGTGTGTGTTATCAATCTGGGACTGTGTTTTAGCAGGGCTTAATTTTGCCTTGAATAAGTGGTGATTTTGCTATTTGTGCTGCACTAATTGCCTCCTAGGTTACAATTTCCAGTACTGTAGTAAAGATAAGCATTAGATTACACATCAGTTCATAAACAATTATCTGGGAAATGTTAATAGGGCACAGTGTGGTAGAAGTGATTAAACAGAGCAAATATCAGATGGTTTTTTTGTGAAAACAACTACCTCTGGTGCTCATAGTAGGAACTGCAGAAAAAACTGTAATGGCATAATAGCTGTTTCACCATAAAGGAGAAATTGATTATAGTTTTTGCTGTCGAGGAAGAAGACACAGTCTTCAGTGGATTAATTTCTAATAGATATCATGTGGTTTCAGATTAGATCTAAGGCTACTGCTGTTAGATGAAGCAGAAGAGTTTTAGAAATGTCACTGAATTTGTAAATAACTAAACAAAGGTGTACTAACAAATCAAAGATATAAAGTGTGACATTTATAAAATTTACATCAATCCCATGCTCAATTAAAAAGGCCCAAAATGCTCTTATTGTTGGA